GTGAGTCTCCCCTCTACCTCCCTCCCTCACCATTCGCGGCACTCAACATTCGCGCCACTCAACATTCGCGGTACTCACCATTCGCTGTACTCACCATTCTCTGTACTCACCATTCGCGGTACTCACCATTCGCTGTACTCACCATTCTCTGTACTCACCATTCGCGGCACTCACCATTCGCGGCACTCACCATTTGCGGCACTCAACATTCGCGGCACTCACCATTCACATCCTCACCACCCTCACCATTCAGGCACGCACTGCCCATGCCCTCACTACAACAAACTACAACATAAAACAACCCACGTTCATGACAACACCCCACATAACCCTTTATAACCCATGCCATATGACCAACCCATGCCATATGACTAACCCATGCCATATACCAACTGACGTCCCTTATAACAATCCACCACATTTAACAACCCACGAAATTACAACCCACGAGATTACAACCCACGAGATTACAACTCATGACATAAAAAACCCTATCATACATATAATAATCTACCCTGTTTATAAATACTCAATATATATATTTTTTGTAAGTGTCCAAGTAGTGTGTTTACCCTTCACTTATGTGCTTATAATGCTACCTTTTCTTCACTTATTGTGGTAATTGACTCACTACACGCGAACTTACTTACTTACTTACAATTACTTTTGAGGAAACTGTAATAAGTTTATTTTTCTTTGGTAAGTGGCTGATGGCTTTATTAAGTGATGATTTTTTTGCGATTATAGTTTGTCTTGATTAAATTATTATTATTATTATTATTATTAGACTATTATTAATGATGTTATTAGTATTGTTGATATTATTATTACTCTCTCTCTCTCTCGCCTTCTCCTTCCTCCCTTAATTCCATCTACCCATCTTTCTACCCTCCTCTTTCTCCCTCCCCTCACCCTTTCCCCGTCCCAATTTCCCTCCCTCTCAACCCCTTCCCCCCATTCTCTCCTTCCTCCAACCCCCTCCCCTCCCAGTGATACTCAGCTGGCCAGGTCCCCCCCCCCCTCTTCACGCCCTTCCCATATGTCTTCTCGTCTCATTACCTCAATTAGCACATGACTTACCTGCCCCACCTGAGGCAGTAAATATTGTGAATTACTATATTTGACGTATATAGTATCGCTAATTTCTATGATTATTGTCCCTAATCTTTACGTTGAGTCACTCATTAGATTTCTATTGCTGAAATGGGATGAAAATTAATGTTCTTTGAGTGATTTATATATAATGGGTAAAATAGTGTAATAAAATGATGGAATTATGACTTAAAACCAGAATTAAAATTGAAACTTATGAAGGAAATAATTAAGTGATCCAACAGGAAGAATTGTTTGGTGTAATGTACTTAAAAAAAAAAACACATACCGACTGTATTATTTAATTTTGGGGCGTAGTTAATTTTGTTTGCTTATTTTAGCCATATTTCTACGTATTTTCGCTTAATATCGCTAAATTTCCGCTCAACCAATTCATCACCATCTATCAACTGTAATTCCGTAATCAATCTCAATCTCCATGACCAATCTATCCTCAACCATCCTATTATCCATCCTGCCTATCCTTAACACATCCTGTCATCATCACCTCCTGCGGGCTCAACACATCCTTAACGTTATTAAACTTTATTACACATTTATTAATCACAACTAGGTCATTATCCTTCAAGGTAATTAACAACAGTACTATCATCATTCCCCCTCCCCCCACACACACACGAGAATGAATTGAAACCTATGATCTAGTACTCTTCAGTAAAATGTATTTATTATTGGTAAGACTCGTTTATATAATTACAACATCAGTGAATCGGGTGTAAAGTCTCGATTAGAAATGATTCGGTTAATGACTATAATTTGAAATGAAGGTAAATACTATTAAATACATTTCTTTGGGTTAATGATACATGATGAGAATTGGAGTACATAATATGTCTTTTGTTATTGGTAGAGCTCCTAATCAGCCATAAATGATGATGTCTATTTTCTTCAGGTGTTTTGTCTTGAGGTAGCTAGAACTATACGGTATGTGAGACGTGGGTTCTATTCCGGGTGTTATGGGAGAGTAAGGGTTCTTCTCTGGCTTATAAACACAGTACACCTGCTTGATCTAAATACCTGTAATTATTGTTATCATAATTTAAAATCATCTTTATGTTAAAAATTTGGCATATTGTCCATCTGTTATTATTCATTGTTATTTATTTTCATTATTGTAATTTTTTTGGTTATTATCTACATATTTATTTTACACACTTGTTTTTGTTTTGACTCTCTCTCTCTCTCTCTCTCTCTCTGGGCCACCACCAGGAGCAGCTCCCCAGTATACGTCTATATTAACCCTTCACTTATGTACCTCATTACTTGTTGTGAGGCACATGATTCATTGGCTCTCTCCTCCCTCCTCCCTCTCTCCCTTACACCAGTGTCCGCTCCTTCCTCCCCCCCTCTCTCTCTCCCTTACACCTGTGTCCGCTCTCCTCTCTCCCTTAGTGTCACTCTCCTTCCTCTCTCTCCCTTACACCAGTGTCCGCTCTCCTTCCTCTCTCTCCCTTACACCCGCCCCCCTCCCTCTCTCCCTTACACCAGTGTCCGCTCCTTCCTCCCCCCCTCTCTCTCTCCCTTACACCTGTGTCCGCTCTTTCCTCCCTCCCTAACACCTGTACCTACTCCCTCACACTTGCCCTCACTTAACCTCATCATTCCTCCCTCCTCCCCATCACCTGTGCCTCTCCTTTCTTCACCGTTCCTGCTGCCCCCTCCCTCACCACCCCTACTGTCTCCTCCCTCACCACCCCTACTGCCCCCTCCCTCACTACTGTCTCCTCCCTCACCACCCTGCTGTTCCTCCTCCACACCTCTCCTCCTGCCCCTACTGTCTCCTCCCTCACCACCCCTACTGCCCCCTCCCTCACGACCCCTACTGTCTCCTCCCTCACCACCAAATATCTGTTCCTCCTCCAACACCTCTCCTCCTCCTCCTCCTCCTTCCCTCCTTTAGCAAGTTATTTCCTCCCACCTCTCCTCTTCCCTTAACCGACCCACACCTTTCCTTAACACCTTCCCTCCCTCTCATCGTAACACTCCCTTTACTATGTCTCTTATACAAATAAATAACAAAGCTAAACAATCAAATAACTACGTAATATGATCAATGGGGTGATTTAATACCACATGAAGTAACAGAGTCTTATATCAGACTGGGAAAAAAATATACCTATAAGCTCTCATGACTACATAACTCTACTGGCGTTTTCTCCAGGGCGGATTAACCCAAAAATATATTCAATTAAGATGTTCATTATATCGTAAGTTAGTAGTAGTAGTTTAGTCAGTATTACCCGAGGATAAACACAGTTGAACCAGTTTGCTAAAATGACCACTTCCCCCCCCCCATCCCCCGACTTTCTCAACACAGCCGTATTTTGGTGCCTTTCTTATTTATGTGTGTATATTTTCGTTCAAATATTCATTATAACGTGTATAAATTTTTTCGTTCATTTGTCCCTTCAAAACTACAAAAAAAAATTTCGTTCATCTATCTATTTATCGCTTCTAAAATATACTTAAAATATTCAGCCATTTGTTCATTTTAAGAGTACAGTGCATAAATATTTCGTTCATATTCAGGTTTTTAAGAGTAATTTCATATTTTTCCGTCACCGTCAAGGCTCTGGGGTGAATTACTGTAGCAGGAACACGTAGAAGGAGCACCGTGATTATAAGAGACAGTTTAAGTCACTACTGGGAGACTCCTGCTGCGTCAGGTGGTGGAATTTCCTTAAGATTAACATGGTCTTATTTTTCACTTGTTTTTTTTTAATGGGTTTAACCTGTCACTACCACCACCTTCTCCTACGTCTTCCCCCCACCACCTCACACCCACTGACAACCGACCCCCTTTCCCCACCACCGACACCTTACTTTCCCTACCCCCTACCAACTCTCCCTTCCCTCCAAAGAATACCCCCTCCCCCTCCTCCGACTACTTCCACCTTCCGTCTCACCGATCCTCCCCGTCCCCCCTCTCCCCCCACCACCAACCACCCCCCCCCTCCTCCCCACCGACACCCCGACTCCCCCTACCCCCGACTTGCATTTAAACATCAACAGGAGTAGCCAAGTTGAAAATATTCCTCTCGTTTTATATTCAAGTCAAGGTCTAGGAAGGTGATTCTCGCTGGGTTTTGTCTCTCTGTCTTCATAATGGTGTAGACAAGAAGAATTATGGTGTTATGTTATTGATGGAACTTTAAGAGGATAATTCTGGACCATGTGTAGTGTTGTAATGTTATATTAACTTTTGACCTGAGTACCTCAAACCCTAAGACGATTTTGAGAATATTTTCTATTACTCGTATAAAAAAAATCCTAATTAAAACTGTACTTAATATACACAAAAAATTACTCCCCCTCCCAAAAAAAAAAAATCTTAAATAAACGAATATACAAAACATACTTTTCTATACATAAATAAATACAAGAAAAAAATACATATACACACTACAAATACATTATACTCAGACCTCACTCACCTTGGTATACGAGTATATCATAGTGAGAATACAATATAATACATTTGAAAAATATCAAGACTTTTAAGGAGAGAATTATACCAAGTTGACCAGCATCCTGTATTAAACGACACACACACACACACACACACACACACACACACACACACACACACACACACACACACACACACACACACACACACACACACACACACACACTCCTTGGTCTTCCTTACATTTGTTGCGTCAAACTTCAAACTACCTTCGTTAATAACTCTCTCTGGATAGTTAGTTGTGGTGGTGCTGACAGGTGGACTACAACACTTGTGATATTGTTGTTGTGGTCAGTCAATCAACCAGTCAGTTAGTCAATAATTACACTACTCAAGTCAGTAAATCAATCAGCCACACCAGTCAGTCAATCAACCAGTCAGTTAGCCAATTACACTACTCAAGTCAGTAAATCAATCA